AGATAACTAAAATTTAAAGGGGCGCCTAGTAGGAATTCTCTAAATGGCTGACACCTGCGAGCTGTGAACAAAAAATGTTTAGAAATTTCTAATTCAGACACGCTGGGTTTGGATTTGGCATGTTATAAGTATTATAACATAGTTAATAGAGACGTGTCATAAGAAGTATTATAACACAGTTAATAGAGGCATGTCATAAGAAGTATTATAGCATATAAATGTCATAGTTAACTAAATAGAGGCATGTCATAAGAAGTATTATAACACAGTTAACTAAATAGAAGCATGTCATAAGAGGTATTATAACATAGTTAACTAAATAGAGGCATGTCATAAGAAGTATTATAGCATATAAATATCATAGTTAACTATGACATTTATAGCATATAAATGTCATAGTTAACTAAATAGAGGCATGTCATAAGAAGTATTATAGCATATAAATATCATAGTTAACTATGACATTTATAGCATATAAATGTCATAGTTAACTAAATAGAGGCATGTCATAAGAAGTATTATAGCATATAAATATCATAGTTAACTATGACATTTATAGCATATAAATGTCATAGTTAACTAAATAGAGGCATGTCATAAGAAGTATTATAGCATATAAATGTCATAATTAACTAAATAGAGCCATGTCATAAGAAGTATTATAACATAGTTAACTAAATAGAAGCATGTCATAAAAAGTATTATAGCATGTAAATGTCATAGTTAACTAAATAGAGATATGTCATAAGAAGTATTATAACACAGTTAATAGAGGCATGTTATAAGAAGTATTGTAACATAGTTAACTAAATAGAAGCATGTCATAAGAAGTATTATAGCATATAAATATCATAGTTAACTATGACATTTATAGCATATAAGTGTCATAGTTAACTAAATAGAGGCATGTCATAAGAAGTATTATAGTATATAAATGCCATAGCTAACTAAATAGAGGCATGTCATAAGAAATATTATAACATAGTTAACTAAATGTCATAAGAAGTATTATAACATAGTTAACTAAATGTCATAAGAAATATTATAACATAGTTAACTAAATGTCATAAGAAGTATTATAACATAGTTAACTAAATGTCATAAGAAGTATTATAACATAGTTAACTAAATGTTGAGGGATCACGGTTGTCACGTGTTTCCATTTCAATTGGAGAAGCGTTCAATAACGAGTAGCGACTCTTTTAAGATACACGTCATCGTCCGCTCGATGTTACCTTTAATTCAGGATGATTCGCGGTCGCGTGCGTTGCTCGCAAACGTGGTTTACGCGCGTACGTTTGATTCACACCTTCTCGCGCTGGCAGCATGGCCGATTGCACGGACGAGTGCTCGGCAAACGCTTGGTATTTTCGATGTCAGATAAAAACTATTGTCGCGTACATGGAATATCTCGTTGGTGGGAGGCCTGAAATTTTGATAACACTCGCGACAATGGTAGATACGTGTCGTTCCATTCGACGCGGAAATTTTTACGCGAGCATTTTTACGGATTGGTAAGCCGGTTCTGCCCGGTGATTCGCGGGCGATTTATTGGTTTGGTTTTCGGGCGGGCCCGGCCCGAAATCGACGGAAAGTGACAACGGGCGGCTCGTAAATTTACAATAATTTCGCCAGAGTGCACACGAATGCGCGCACGGTGGGCGCCTCCTCCTCCTCCCTTTCCCCTCTCGCGAGACGCTTCTCGAGACGTTTGAGAATTATCCTTTCTCTCGCTCGGCGAGAATTCCTCGCCGGGGCGAAAACTCCTTTCCCGAGACTTTTTAAACTCTGTTACTTATTCACCGAATTTTTCTCTTACTTTCCTCCTCCCGACCCGGGGCATTGAATCATACTCCTTGGAAAGACGTCCTATTATTAAAACTTTTTCCCTTCTGTTATCCGACTTCACGAACTTTCGATTATCCGAGTTCATTCGATCGTAATTCTTGCTATTAGCGCTCGAGGGATATTAACGAGGGAATCGCGCGCGTAACCGTTAAATTAAGAGATCGCTTTAACTGCGAGAGGTAGGGAGAGACTCACTGTTTCGAAGCTGGCCGGTTGAACGCCGGGCTAGACACTTTGTACGTCATATTTTCATGAAATTTCTGCCTCGAGCGGCGCGGACCCCGAGTAGTAGCTTTTTTCAACTCGTCGTAGCTCCGAAGTAAAGAAATTCTTCCTTGGAAACGAACGAAAGAAAAAAAAAAAAAAAAAAAGGACGAGAAGAACGACGCGACGTCAGGCTCGCGTCGGAAAGTTTCGTTTCCTTTTCAAACGAGTTTTCTCCCACTCTTCGCTCTTCTCCGTTTCGTCTTTTTGCCCCGACGATCCGAGCAGCATTATACAGCCGACTGAGGCTGGGGGAGGCAGAGATTAGAGCGACTCGGCGATCCGGGGATACGCAGTTAGTTTTCCTATTTAGTCCAGTTTTGCGCGCCGCTCTAGGCGTTCGACGCGCGAGATCTCGCGAGACTCGGAATGCCTCCTCTCGTCGCTGGTTCGGAGTGGGGTTTTAGCACGACGGTTCCAGGATTCGCCGACCTCTTGGAAAGCTCCGACCCGCCGTAGAGAAAATGATGGAAAGCGTAATCCCCCTTAAGAGGCTTAGCTCGACGATCCTCGAGTGACCGGGAGATAACGCTCGGGCTTTCCAGGTGCGAGCCACGGAGTTTTTCAGGATATTTTTCGCGAGTCAAGACGACAGGCGTGTCTGCCACGTCGTTTTCTTGTGGCCTTGCCCCCCTCACCCACCCCTCGGCCCGTTACTTCCGCTTTACGCCGTTACGTTTAGGCGTCCTGCGAATTTACGGCCCGCTCCGTATGCAAACTGGAGCCAACGCGTATCCGACACGTCTGCCTCGCACCCCGAGATTCAAAGGGGCCGTTCTTTTGCCTTCCATTATATTATATTCACTCGATTCCACGAACTTTATCGCGCGGCTAAAATATCGCATTGCCTCTACGATCTTACATTAGCCCCTTGAAATTATTGTACCAGCCTTGTTCAAAAAATTCCGGGACGAAATAAAATATACTGAAAAGTGCTATCGTGCTTGTCGTTAAATTATTCCAAATACAGCGTAAAAATAATGATAATGTGATGGTAAAATTATTTTTTGATAAAATTAATACTAGTTGAAAAATCGTGTCATTCATCGAATGATTCGAAGTGTAGTGAAAAAATGTGTTTCAAAGAATTGATAATGATGTTCAAATTGTGCGATCTTCGCTAGAAAAGAATTAGATCGGGAAACTGAGTGTCTAAAATCGAAAAAAAAAAAAATGATTTATTGAAACAATTTGTCAAAAAGTTTTATAAAGACTTATCCGAAGAATACCATGATTATTTCAATCATTAATTCCACAATAGCATGGATATTAGATTGATGAATCCAAGATTTAATTGTAAGAATCTTATCTTTTAATACTATACATACTCCGTGTTGACAGATCTCTCCCTAAGACTAATCTTATTAAGAAATAATCACTGCAAAATAATCATATCATACTATTACGTCATCAATTCGAAAACTTGAATGGAAGTGTATGTCCTAAAAATCTGATGACAGTTCTCTTCGATTGCTATTTCAACACGATGAATTCTACGAGATGTCATCGTACATTAAAACAAAAAAGATTTTAAATAAGAAACTGCATTGAATGGCAAAAGAGTCCTCGTTGGACTTGCTTTTGCAGCGTTATACAATGATGAGTGAAAGAAAGTTGTAAAATTGGCACGCGTGCACATACGTGAGAATAGTTATCCTTTCAACATTCTATTTCGAGATATATACATATATATTGTACCTATTCATTGCTCTCGTTATTTGTAATTCCATTTTACAAAATTGTGGATTATCCCATTTGCCTTTTAAATGTTCTTCCGTCTGGCGTTGTATTTTATAAAAATTAAATATTCCGTAAATATTCTCCACAGATATAAATTTTCTCGACGTGCGGCTTTTTATACGGGTTCGTGTTTTTTCTTTGCGATTAAAAGAATTGAATCTCCGCGCGGAGATTTCTTTCGAGCATTGTACCTTGAACATTTTATATATATCATATTTTTGTATATCCAGTTCCGAGAATTTTTTGCACCTTTATCATAAATCTGCAGTCTAATCGCCAATTTCTGTTTTGCCGCCCTCGAAGTAATCCTCACTGCTCGTGACAACGCGTTTCACGTTCTTCAAAACATTTTTCAATTTCGTTTCATCGTGTCGATCGATTGTAATAATAAACAAACAAATGAAATTTTTAGCGATATTCTCAAGAAGTATATACTATTCAAGCACACTTGGCTTTGACGAACAATCTTGCTCGAAAGATTTTTCTAACGTTCTAAACGTCTTAGACAATTTCGTTTTTCACATAAAATTTTAACACACGACAAACACTTTGTTCGATAAATTTCGACGCGGTTGAAATTGCCAAGCTTTCAAATCTCCTTTCGCATGAACTATTCAACCGATCTGAGCGCGTAAACAGCGCACGGTTATCGACAACAGATACACGAACTGAATGAAATAAAAGAAATTTATGTAACCGTCATGTTTTCATAAACAAATCTCACCTGGAATTTTTGGAACAGTGTAATACATCGTCCTTTCACGATTGTGTGAGAGAGATGAAATCACATCGTAGATCAAACTGACCAATTCGTTATTTTTCATTGAAAGTTTTACGAAATTTCGCGAATGATTTCTCACGAGCTATATATATATATATATATATAGACAAAGGCTCGCGTTCTTTTTATTGTATTGGAAACCTACTTCTTTCACTTTCATTTCCCCGGGATAAATTTTATTATACTCCATCTCCAGTAGTTCTCGCGTTAATTTTACGTCCGTGCCAATTTATCGGGGAATTTCCTTTTTTTTTTTTTTTTTTTTACAGGATTTCCCTTCTTTCTTTTTCTGATCAGGTAGGTTCATTGTCGAACTCCTAATTTTTTGGCCCCTGAGTAGGAGGGAACTTGATTGGTTTGGACGTACCTCGTGAAACCACGTCAATCTGTAAGCTCTAGGATTCGCTCTAACGTTGCACTCGAAGTAAACGTCGTCGCCTTCCTTGATGTTCTTTGGATTCAGCGAAGAGCCCATCTTCAGAGCGACGACAGGCGCGACTGAAAAACAAAAAAGAGAGAGAAACGTGAAACATCAGCGCTGCACATATTGTTTTGTAAAGTTCACATCTCGCGCATCTGACAAAACACGAGTACTCGCCATGTACATAAGTAATTCAATTAGTCGACCTATCGTTGACGGTCGATGTCGACTAGTCGTAAATTAAATGACAGTTAAAGTATAACAGAGTTTCAAATTCGTTGAAGTTCATCGAAGATAGTTGAGTCTGAGTCACACGTAGTGGCTTAATTAAATTCTGAAATATTTAAATATTTCAATACGTAGAAACGAGCAGAATTAATGTAAACGCATGCAGTTGAGGCCAATACAGCGATGAAGCACACATTCCTGTGTTTTTTTTTCTCTGCACGAGATTTTCAAATGTCGAGCTTGCCACGCGAATGTAACATTTGAAAATCGCGTATAGAAAAACAAGGGCGTGCTTACCGCGCGAATGCAATATCTGAAAATCGCGTGCAGAAAAACAAGAACGTACTTCGTTAAATCGATGAAATCTCCATTGCGTGAAAAATCATTCACCCGTAACATTCAGGGATTTCCCGAACTAAAAGACATAATGTACAAAAAAGGATGTATATAACGTACAAAAAGACATATAATACATAATATGTATTATGTATTACTATTATTATATATGTATAATATTATTATGCATTATGAGATGTTACGATATATAAAAGAATGTATTAATATATATTAATATATATATATAAAAGGATGTATAAGACGTATAAGACGCTCTTTTATGTATTATAATGTACAAAAAGACGTGAAGAAACATATAACGTATAAAAACGTATGTAACATGTAATATATATAATACATGTGAAATACGTATAACATATAATATGTATTATACGTAAAAGTTGACATATATGTTATAATATATAAAAGAATGTGTTAATATATAATATATGAAAGACGTTATAATACATAAACTGTAAAATATATAAAAAAAAAAAAAAAAAACGCGTACACGTGTATCAATTTGTTTAATGCACGTTTCACACGCCAAATATTCGAAACCTCGACTTTCCGGGTTCGAGGATAAGCTTTTTCATGTTGAGCGAACATTGTTCGCTATTCATGAACTACAGCTGGCAGTTTACAGGCGGATCACAGGTGAACAGGAGTTCGCGAGCTTGCAGTGCGAACGCGGCATTAGAATTGAAACGAAAATTTCGTTACTTCTCTGGAGTTCGTTCATCGCTTCGGGCGACAAAGCGAGGGGAAAAAAGCGATTGATCGGGACCGTCGGTCATGGCGACTGAAAATTTATGCTTGCCACCCCTCGTCTGTCGTTATGTTATTTATGAATCAAGAGCTTATGGAGGCCACGGCGCAATAATATTCGGGCATTAAGCGGGGCTCGTTTAATGAAATTTGCATTTTCGTCCGCGGGAAATGCGTCCAAGTGATCATCGAATCGCGTCGGAGCGGAATCGAAACTCGAAACTGGCGCGCGTAGTTAATAACGTCATACTCGAATTAATGGGAAACGTTTTCCGACGAAAATTGTTATTGAACTTTGCGTGACCCGTGATTCTCTGCAGGCATCGATATCGCAGCCAATCGGTTTTGCCATATTGATAGATGAGGGGGTGGGGGAGTGGTCGAATTTCGTTCCCCAGAAGATCTTTCAGCATATTTGCTCGAAATAAAATTCGTTTTAATCTGAAAAAAATTGCCGTGGTTGATATTGTGATATTATAACCAGCGTCGTAAGAATTTCTATTTGTACAAATAAAGGAAAATATATTTATATAAAATATTATAAGTTTTATAACAATACGATAGACAAATGTATTGTAGAGTGAGATGTCAAATTTCCTTCCCTAGAAGATCTTTCAGCATATTTG